TATATGTATCAGTATTGATACTTTTACTATATTGATACTTTAAAATTCCCTTCAGACATGTTTGAAGACAAATACAAATCAGTTTTGAATAATTTGTGTTTAGTTGAAAATTGTAAAGTATATCTACTCCCTTCCCTAAAACCGAAGGAATATTTGCCTTTATTATCGAGAAAGAAACACACTTGTTGGTGCAGTTGCTTGTTTTGGATGGATACCTATTTATCATTTCTCTGTTGTTGTTTTTTCCAGGTTTCGCATCCTGTGCAATAAGATTATCACCCACAAGATGTTTGACCATATTGTGTTGGTCATTATCTTCCTCAACTGCATCACCATCGCCATCGAGAGACCTAGCATCACCACTGCCGTGAGTCTAAAAACAACAGCACAAACACCCAGTTAGCTTCACACTACATGACCTTTTGCTCTGTAAAGTTAGAGTTAAGAGTCTATGAAAAGATTCAACTTGAATGTGTTGCCTTCAGTCTTCAATGACAAGCACAATGAGAAGAAGAGAGAAAGAAAAAAGTCAGAAGTCAAGATGAAAGATAGGTAGAAACACAAAGAAGCATAAACGCATATATTACATATTTATAATACAGAAATGTAATAAATGTGTGAATATCAGTGTTGAATCCATTATAAAATACTCACTGGCAGCCTAAAAAAACCTCAACAGAAAGGGAGAAAAAAGGAGGATGTACCTGTCAACAAGTTCACCCTTGATGGCTGTTCAAACAAACACACACACACACTCGTCCAAAACAGAATTACTACAGTAGTTTACTCTCCAAAGAGAAAAGAAGTGGAACACCATGTAAGCAGGGAACCACTCCTGTTTGACTGTGAGCCAGGAGCTTTGGGTAATGTGTGCTACACCCCTGTGTCTACTGCACTGCATCATCAACACCATCACCTCCTTAGCTAATGCACTATCCCTTCAAATAGAGGAGGCCTGGCTGAATGCCTTGCAGCAACACACACGCACACACACATCTAAGTGTGTGTCCTTTCGTACTTCTAGCCATAACATCGGAGCCCAGTCCAGTCACTCCATACATAAACACAATAATTATCACTGTTTGATATTTTTTTTCCCTCACTGAGCGAGGTGTTCCGTGGATGGACCTAATTGCGGTCCAGTCTTGCTGGAACACTCCGTTCTGCTTGTTTTGCGACTCAAACACAGAGGAGACAGTGTCGTTGTAATTGATTCAATTATCTGTGGGCTAGCGTACGTGGCTAATGTCGAGGAAAGGAGATGTTTTACAAATGGAGGGCGGCCTACAGACAGCCCCGTCTAATCAGGGCAGAAAGATCACACACACACATACAGTATATATATGGGATGATTTCTTACCCCTCACCTCTGCACACACAGGTCTGTAAACACAAATGCACAAAGTCCACCACAGCAGGCACCCTAACATTCACATCAGAGTGCAGTACTTTTGCATGCACATACATTTTGTCAGCTTCCTGCCGTGGCCGTCGTGTCTGGTCTGCACCCTGAGGCCATTATTGAAATGAGATGGAAATGTATGACGCAGCAAGCAGCCCGAAACAAGAGAACGAGCAGTCGTTACAGTTTTGAGCTGCGATGCTTATTGCTCCAGATCTCATTTGGCCGGGTGGTCATTGCATGCTGCTATTTGTTTGCCTGTGTGGGTTGTTTTGAATTAATGAAGCCGATTGTGAATCGATTTCCACTCGCTGATTCTGTTTGGGCTGTGTATGACTAAATTTCTATTTAAAGAATATAACATGTGACAACATGTTATATTCTTTAAATAGAAATTTAGTCTGTAAGTCAATTTAGAGATAAAGCATTTTAGTCACAACAGTTTTAGTGCGGAATGCAGGCTGAATAATTAGTTTATGGTCTTGGAAGTTATGTCACACACTTTGTGTTTGGCTTGCAGTGCATTGCTGTTTTGGTTTGGTGCTGGATGTTGCTTAGATACTGTCTTCCTGTTGCTTAGGGGAAATGATTGAGGATGATTATACCACCTATTATGATTTATTATTCCTAATTGAGCTAGGGGACAATACATCACTGTCTAGAGTTCTAAATTGAATTATATCAGCATCACCAGTATAAAACACAATCAATCTAAGTTTTCTGCATCCACGTCATCAACATTGAGACAGAAAGATAGCGCTACATGCTGGGCCATGATTAAAGCTTTCCAGGAGGTGTGGGCCGACTCTTTTCTGCTGCTCAGGAATGCAGGAAGGGTAGGTAATTGCATAATTGAATGCTGCATTAAGCAAGATTTTTATATAACAATGTATTCCTGTACAGTCATCTACTAAATTATTGCTATCATACAGAGTGTTGAGCTCCCTAAAAATTAGAGAGAGATACTGTACCTCTCCAGCACGGGGCTGCCAGTGTAGAATGCCTCGTGGAACATTGTAGATTACCCTCTGGAAGTGTATAGTATTAAGTATTGTTTTCCCTGGCTTGTTACTAAGCAAAGTCATTTCTGGTCTATGTCATTATGTTCAGCTTTATGTCAAACCAGGCTGAGCTAGAATGAGCTGTATAGGCTGCTGGCTTGTGGTTCCCTAAATTGTGGTCAGACACACTGGATGCCAGTCGGTACATTCATGGTTGAACTGGGAATGACACCACCACTATTATGAGGAATGGGAGGGGGGCAAGAGGGAGACGGTTTACTACTGTTGAGAGAGCTTTGGATTCCTCTCACCATCTGACACAATAGGCCATTTTCACAGAAGGAACAACACAGGTGTAAATAATAAAAGTAAAGATGGTTGAACTCCATTTAGTTGCTCTGATTTCAGGATTATTGTATCTGCATGCTTGCTCACTGTCCCTCTCACTGGAGCTCTTGATTAAAACAGAGCCATCGTTAGTGCTATTAGTAACACCTGTGATTTTCCAACTATGACAAGTCAAAATGTCTGCTGTATGAAAGTTTTCTCTCTTGCTTTCAGTCCTCGGTCTTCTTTTTATTTAATTTCAGTTAGCCAAAATTTAAGTGTACATATTGGAAAAAAAGCTACAAACTTGTTGATTATGTGTTTAATTTTGTTCGGCTAGCTAGCTAGTTAAAACAGCTAACGTTAGCTACAGCTGTTTACATGCAAACAAATTTTAACAAACCTTATTTAGCCTGCTACAGAGGAAAGTCTCAGCTTCTTTAATATCGTTTATTTTATCATTTTGTTCATTTCAGTCAGCCAAGATGTAAGTAAAGAAAGTAAAGTAACGTTGAAAGTGATACCTTGCTTCAGTTTTGAGGGCTAACATTAACTAACATGACAACAGCTAACCTTAGCAGTATGCGGTATTTCGGCTAGCTAGCTAACATATTTGTTGAGTTTTCAAGAACCAAATTTACCAGCCTGTTAGTGAAAACCCAGAATTTGTGAATAATTCTAAATTTGTAGTTTAAAAAAAAAAAGTTGGTTATTTCAGTTTGCTGAAACATAGCTACATGGAAAAAATTAGTGTAGCTTTCGTGAATGCTTAACTTTTGCATGCTAGCTAGCCAAATTGGCTCGAGTAATTTACATGTAGCTTTCATTTTTTTAGTTAGCAAGCTATTTGTTCAGTTTAAATCAGCATACATATAAAATAATTTTGGAGCAAGTTCTCACCTTGTTCAACATTGTTAAGTTAGCTTTTTTCATCGTTTTGTTCATTTCTGTCGGCCAATATGTAGCCTCAGCATAATGTTAAGTGTGGGGGAAAAAATTACCTAAATTTTTGCAGGCTAGCTAACTAAAATGCAATTTGTTTTTCATTATTTTCTCCAATTTATTTGGCCAAATATACTGTAAGCACATGAATTATGCAAAGGGTAACTTCAAGTTAATACTGTGTTATTTTTTCAGGCTTGTTAGATAACATGGCCTCAGCTATTTACAGTATTTCTGGCACAGCAGGGTGTATATTTTTAAACTGATCTAAATCTAAATCTAAACCTAGATCTAAAGTTAACAGCTTGTAGGCTACAGCTGGTAACATGATTATACTGTACACACCTAAATTAACCAGCCGTTTTCCAGAATGTGGTTGGACTGACAAATTTAGTCAAACTATTGACCAGGGAATTCATATTTCATCAAGGCATACAGCCTGAATTTTAACTTCTATATCTCTTGCTCCTCTGTCATTCTATACCACATGCCTGTTAGTTCCTAATGAATGAAACTATGAAAACTCGTTCACAGAGGACAGGAATGGCTGCTGTCAAGCCTGGAATTTATAAACCCTCTCAACGCCAGCATTCCCAGTGATGTCATGCCTGACATTCCCAGAGAAAACGCTGCAGGACTGCCATCTCTGTGTTTATGTGTGTGATTTTGTGTTCCTCGGAGCATGGGTGATGTTACTTAGAGGCCGTGGGAAAGGCAGCCACCTACACCCGCTCACATGCACACACCAGACACATATCCAGTACATAGACAGTCAGTGGCAGGAAGGGGTTGTGTCTCCTCAGACAGAGGGGAAGTAGGGTAAATAAGCAGTCAGTGAAGGGATTTTATTCTTTCTAGATTGCTTGTTTTTTCTCTTAAGTCCTTGTTTAGCTCAGTAAATAGGATCCCATCCTCCCCTGCGTGCACTGCGCACACACCACTGAGCCATGCTGCCTCAGGCAACAGGGAAGCATGGAGTGCAATAAAGTGCATATAGAAGGAGATGTATTCACTCAGTCCTGATGGTATTGTGTTGTGTGCACACTCACAAAACAACATGATGGTGCTTGCTTTCTGAACTGCCTGTTTATCTCTGATAAAAAAAATAAACAACATGCTGGTTTAATTGGAAAACTGCCAATTTCAGCCTAAAATTTTCACTTCTCAACACTAAAGCGTTTCACCAAGTGTTTCACAGGTGATACGATGCCGCTTGTCCACGGTGCAAATGATTTAATTCAGGGAATACTTACAAGTTTATTTGCACTGTGAAAAACTAAAGATAATGTTTTTTCCACCAGTAAAAGGAAACTTTTAAGATTTTACGCTTAGATATTAGATGCCTTGTTTGAATTTTCCTGCAGTGATAATACATAGTAAACTTTATAATTGCCTGCCAGCCATCATTAGTGAGTGCAACAGAGATGTTTGTACAAAGATGTTTTCAAATACTGCATGAGGAAAATAGCTCCCTCATACATTATTCAGATCAATTTAGAAGCACACAAAGAACAAACTCAGTAGAAAAACATGCTTAGAACAAAAAATGTGAATTTCAAGTCATTAAAAGGGTTAGCATGTACCTCACTCATCCAGGTTTCTCTTCCTTCTTTACTGCAGGAGCGGATCTTCCTAAAATTATCAAACTACATCTTCACGGCAATTTTTGTGGCTGAGATGACTATAAAGGTGAGACACTCTAGATTTCCACTGACATGTTAGATTGTAAAACCTTTCTGTGAGAGTCCTCTTGGGTTACTTTCTAAAGCCCAGTCAAATTTGGTGAAAGAGTTTTGTTCTTTTATTTAATGGGATGCCACGTACTACTAAATATTGATTCTGTGGAGTGTCAAGCTTGCACGCTATGGCCACTGACTGCTTATGGTCATCATTTAAATGTGTGTTTGCTTTCCATTCTTCCATGAAGTCATCACTAATTTCTGTTCTCACTCACTCAGTAGACATCAGCTCTTTTGCCACAAAATATTTGGCAACTCAAGATTTTTTTGGTACCGTACCTCATCGTTTGTCCCCAGCTTTGAAAGGAACAAGATGAAGCATCTGTGTTCACTCACAATGTACAAATTTTGCATAAGATGGAGAAACCGGCACCAGACTCCACAAACTGCTCAGACACAAAGCTGTAGAGAAAATACAGCTATCTGCCTGATACCCGCATGCACTGTAAGCCCCAAAAATACAAAAGAAAACAGAGTTTTCAGAGGGAGGAAAGGGAGAGGAAAGGGAGGAAGAGAATGAGAGATTGAGACTCAAACAGACAGTGAACATACACACTGTACACACACACACACACACACACTCAGGGCTGTTTCATAATGCTAAGCGGAGGATTGTCTCGCCAGTATTCAAATGGACCAGCTTTGAATGGAGGTCCATGCAGGCGTGGGCGGGAGCGAGCGGAGGCAGAGGGGAGGAAAGTTCATGGGTGTCACTCATTCAAAGCCTCTGTCTTTATTTTTGGTCCCAGTGTGATTGGCGGGCTCACGAATGTAGGGCCCGTACACACAAGCACACGCACAGAGTACTGGTTGTGTTATTTAATTTTAAAATAATGTTCTAAAATCATGTCATAGTTTGGTGTTAAAAGATGTGGGCAACGTAAATCACCTAAATTAGGAATTGCAGGATGTTATTTCCATGGGTTAAATGTAATGAGGTAAAAAGTACAATATCTCCCTCTTAAACGTAGGGTAGTAGAAATATAATGTATCATTAAATAGATATACTCACATAAAGTATAATTATGTCAAATTTTTAGGCCTAATAATGGGACGCACTTTGTTCTAACACTGAATACACACAGTGAAGAGTCAGTAGTAGCTGTCTGAGATCTGTTTCTGCTCATCAAATATGATCAGCCTCTTTGATGATTCCCAGTCATATACTGCATATACTGTCATGCATTAATTAGCATCACCTAATGTAAATTATCCTCTATCCATCTCCCACTTTTTCTCTTGCTCTCTCATCTCTTTGGTTACATTAGATGATAAGAAATGCATGAAGCAAAGATAGCTGTCGTGGCCCGATTTAATACGTTTCAGCTACAAAAAAACGACAACAAGTGAGCCAGTCTCTATTATTTTCTGGAATGCAAATTGCATTATGGGTAGAATAAATGATGAGTGGTACCTATAGAATTAGAAATGCGGGTTGAAAAAGCTTGCAGCTTTTCTGATCTTCGCTGCCAAGTTGGAAGAAAACAATCTACAATGCTGTGCATACAGGACATTAAGCATAATAAAAGCAAAAGATGTCTTGATAACAAATAAATCTGCAAACGCTCACCCAAAAATATATATTGAATCACTTATTCGTGTATCATTTTATGCCACTAACATTTAGAGTTGATATGTCAATTTAAATGTATCAAAATAATATTGGTAACGCAGCAGTTTACCCTTTGAGCTTTCTGCTGCCTCAGTAGGATACACTAACTCCACTCTGCTGTATGTCCATGTGTCATGCCTCTGTGTGCCATCTGTTTCCAGATCGTAGCTTTGGGCTGGTGTTTTGGGGACAAGGCCTACCTGAGGAGCAGCTGGAACATTCTGGACGGGATGTTGGTGATGATCTCTGTTATCGACATCCTCGTGTCTCTCATCTCCAACTCTGGTACCAAGATCCTGGGCATGCTCAGAGTGCTGAGGCTGCTGAGGACCCTGAGGCCACTACGGTAAGTGGCTCTCCTGGGGACGCCGAAATTTAAAAACAAACAAACACACTGAGAAACCAGCCCTGAAGCTGTTGATAGGAATCACAAAATAAAGTCTTACCACAAAATACTTAAATGTCCGACCTTCTTGGTGGGAAATATTAAAAGGCCAGAACAAACCGACCCCATATACTGTATATAGGTTTGAGTCTCTCCATTTCCCAGACTCCTGGGATGAAGAAAGTGCCTGATATGGATGTTTTGTTTTAAAACGGAGGTGGCACAAACTGAGCTTTCTCTCAGCTCTGACATGTACCACCTTTTGGAGCTTTTGGGAGATGTGTGTGTGTGTGTGTGTGTGTAGGCATTTATTTTCGTGTGCGTTCATGCATCTGTTATTGTCAGCATGTACACAATTGCACAGCTATGTTTATTTGAGCAGAAGTAAGGCGGAAATCACCAATTTGGAGGCTGTATTTGTGCTTACATTTCCAAATGTGTGTCTATGTGTGGGCGCAGAGGGAAATCTAGAATGTGTGTCTTTGTGAAATACCAGACAGGGTCTTCACGTGTGTGCACTTCTTTGTCCTTAGTTTTAGCCTCAGTGTGTGTTCACGCGTGTGCCATTTGCATGCATGTAGCGTCATGCTTGACTTGGCTCACAGCCGCATGCTTGGTGTCTCATCTTGTGAAGGGGAGCTCTCTAGGCTTTGCCCTCTCTTGAATATTTATTGCAGTTCTAAAGAAGAGCACACAAATCAAATATTCATCTTCTTCCTGCCAAATTTACCCACTAAACACCACTGATCTTTTCATCTTCTTTTGCTTTTGTAACTTTCACCTTTGACATGAAAGGGAAATCTTTTGCCAGGACTTTCCTCCCTGCCTTCAAACAGTTACTTTCTTCTTTGAGTTTATACTGTAACATTGGCGTGTGAACTAGGTAGTGAATTTGTTTGTGCTTCACATTAGGTGTACATGTATTTGCAAGTATGCAGTGTGCTTTGCTGACTTATGCTCAAGAATACTGCCACAGAAGCACTCATCAGTGATAAGTGACAATTGTTAGTCTGAGCAGGACAGACAGTGTACACATAGTGGACATAGTTTGGTATGTATGTGAAAGTATGATTTCAGTTTATAGACCCTTTTAGGGTCGACATCAGACTGACGTCATTTTATCAGCTGGACGCAAAACATGACTCACAACCACAGGGCTGTCGGCTACATAGGAGTCTCAAAATGTCGTCTTGTGTTATTGGGAGCTAGAATAGAAGGAGTCATGACTCAAAACTTCAATTTCTTTCACATGCCAGCTGCCACGGCCCATCAACAAAAACGAAGACAACTTTGGTTAAATATGATAAGACAAAAGGACTGGACAGAGTTGATCATCAAAAATGGTCTCAGGTGCAGTGCACACTTCATACCTTATTTATAATTTCAGTAATACCATAGTACCACTGCTGGATGACCAGACGCACATACATACACACACACACACACACACACACACACACACATACACAAGTAGACAGACAGACAGTGACAGAAGATGAGCTCTGTGTGTGATTAGAAAACAGCAAAGGAGCAGAATTGCTTTTTAGTTTACTACGTCACCCCTTCAGCTTGATTAATGATGGCATTTTGTTTTATAACAGAGAAAGTAAAGTGCTGTATGGTTAGGGTTATCAGGCACTAGTACCAAATTACAGGTACGGGAACCATACCGGTTCAAATGTGAATGGTACTCTGCCCTATTAACAATTAGCCAGTCGGCGCTACAAGTGAGACTAACTGGTGTTAAGCATTGTCATGCTGTGACCCGTAACTGAGGAAATAACAATGGTGCCAGCTATAGACAAGATAGATGCTGCTATCCAGGCTGACATGTGAATTTGGATTCAACATTGTTTTACTTTGCTCAGCTCCAGTCTTAAAGCTCCGGCAAAACAAGTATGCTGACATGACTACGCATCAATGTGAACTTAAAATAGGGCTAGACTGAGGTAGGTACGTTGGTCTCTTGTATATGTTGACAATTCTGTCTAAATTTTAGCCAAAGTATTTGGTAAAACATTTATCAGTGTTAACCTACAGACTCACTTCCTTACTTCAACTTTGACCTACTGTCCGTTCTGTAATTCAGTCAGCCAACTCATGTGGATTAGGTTATTATTATGTGAATGTAAAATAATGCTTATGTGTGGCGTCTAGACTCTGACCTCCTCACAAGGAAAGGAGGGAGTGGGGAGTGATGGTAATAACATCCCCCTATAGTTGAACTCAGAGCCTACAAGTGAGTGGGTGGAGGGTCTTCTGAAATGCTATAGAAAAGCAGCAATGGACAGCGTGTCAGAAAAGAGTGAGCACATACACAACATACTTCAACATACTTCAGAATGTGGTTTGACTGCCACTGTGGTCCCTGATTACTGAAACTAGCATGCTGTTCACTTACAAGTGAAATGTTAATGTGACATTAAAAAGTGCACTTGCTGTCAAACAAGAGGCTTTCTAATTAGATCTGGTGCAACTGCGACAAACTGAGCACTTGAAAAGAGTACCTGATTCTAACTGCTGCTCAATCCTCTTATTTAATCCCCACAGGACAGCAAGGCTGAGGCTGTATTAATGTCGAGTAGGGAAGGTTTTAAAGTCAGATTAGGAAACATGTAGCAATTACAAGTTTGGGGGAAATATTCTCGAGAGCAAAGGGCAATCACTTCTCTGGGGAATGATGTCTTCAGTTTGAGAAAAATGCAACATGGCAGAGAGAGAGAAATGGGATTATGAAGACTGTATGAAGACAGGCAGAGAGAGAGTGAGGGAAAAACAGGAAAGGATGGAAAAAGAAAGAGGAATAAGCGGAGCTTGGTTGCTTGGCTCTCCCCTCCGCTGAGGCTGCAGATGAGTTACACGAAAGCAATACTGTAAAATCATTTTTTAAGGTAGTAATTAACTTTCAATCCAAAAGGAGGAGCATTAAAGGCTGTAGCATATTAAACTGTTAGTGTGCTGCTGTGGGTATATTATATGGCTTGGTAATAGTGTACTGCAGGTACTAAAAAACCTGTTAAAGATAATTCAGTCTGGTCAACACAGTAAAATTACTGCTTGGGTTACATTAAAGCCATGTTTCAGTTTAAGTAGTCAACAAACATTCCTTTGGGGAGCAAAACATTTGTGGAGCTACTGTACAAGTGCTTCTGCCAAACACAACAACACAAGGATGGATCTGTTTGTTAGTATTTGGTGATTTGGTGGCTAAATTGATGCATCCAAAACTGCCTCTAAATAAATATGGCAAAAACTCTATAGTACACTATGGGCCAATGTGAAAATGAATGGGAAGTAGGCACAGAGTCTTACTGTCACATACCCCATAATGTATTGGGAACAAGTGCCTGTTTCCAAAACAAGTCCTGCAATCTATACAACCACATAGGTCATCTGTTCTTACCTTCTAATATGATCAGCAGGAATGTTTCCTAAATTAGTGCACCTACCCGCGGCAGAAGAAAATTACTTACATGATTGTTAACAGTTGGAGATTTAAACACGTGGTTAACGCTGTGAAAAGGTCACAGCTTGGTTAGGTTTAGGAAAAGGTCATAGTTTTGGTTAAAATAGATACATTTGTTAAATATCTTAAGTTCCACACGTAACTTACTTTAAGTATGTGACATAAGTTAAGTACCCTACATGCATGGCATCAGTTAAATATGTAACTGATATACATATCTTAAAATAACTTAACGGTGACTTTTGGTTTCACATGGGAGACCAAGAGCGGCCTCTTGGGTCAAAGTCCTGTGCTTGTTTGACCCACCGATCTACCTCTTTCCCAGTCTTTGTCACTCTTTTTAGTATGTCACGTGACTTCCTCCTTTGTTCCCATTATTATCACTACACCCACCTGAGGCTGCCACCTAACAATAAACATGAATATGGGTTATATTACGCTGCTTTTACAAATGACCTATCTGGGCGTTTCGGGGGGAGGATAGTCTTCCTCAAAAACACCATCTAACAGGTATGATCTAAAAGTCTAAACCAGGGCTCCTCTAAGTCCGCAGCAAGGTCCGCGTCCAGACTGAACCGAAAGTCAGTCTAGACTCAGCACATGAAGTGCAAAGTTCTCTTTATGAATAAATCTTCTACTGATCAACGAATTGTTAGTAACTTACAGTGTAGCTGGAGATCATTCACAGCGATACCCCAACCCAGCTGGCACCGGACATTATTTATATGACATCAGAAAGATGCTGGACTCTTAGGTTGGACAAACGTTAAATTTTGGTTGGAATGAAAATCAGGTTGAAGATATTTTAAATGTCTAAAGACGTTTCATGTTGTATTTAATTCTGTTACTGTTGAATATCATGTTGTGTTTACATTATGACATTATGACATTATGACATTATGCGGCCATTGGATTTTGTTCTCTTTACCTCATAACTAAGTGGTGTTATTCTTCGTCAAGATGATGTTGGCAGGAAACATTTGGAAGACGTGTTATTTCAGTTACTTAAAGCGGCACTTACCATTCTGGAAATTTTACGCTTTTCTTTGTTAAGGTTAAAATGCTATTAATAAGCTGATGGCACACTAAAATGTAAGTGAATTCCACCAGAGATAAAAACTCATAATTGTACCATTCTCATATGGTTCTAAGAAAATTCCGACCAATCATTGCATTCGGCCGAGTGTCCTGTCTGTCTTCCCCACGTGGAGGCCTCCGACTAACGTAACCGCTCGCATAACATTTTTTCTCAATTTCTACAACTAGTGTAAATGTAGCTGCAAGGTCTGCACAGAACATTCCATTATTGAAAGTTGTTCCGGACCTCTGACTTTGGATTAAAATCAGATGTAGACCTTTGGGTAATAAGTTTGAGAACCCCTGATCTAAACACAATAAAGATACGGAGGCTTTGTCCTCTGCATTACCACATCTGTTGAGACATGGAGTTGTATCTGTGGCTCAGTTTGGCATTTCATCCCAATTAAAGTGGCAACTTAGTCTTAGCATACCAAAATACGCTAGGTAACTGTTAGCCACTATCAAAATATGACCCACACCCAAAGTTAATATTGTGCATCATCAAAAATTCTGCTGATTTATTAGGTCGGTAAACAAAACACAGTCAGTCAATGAAACTTCAGTGTTCATTATTGGTGGACTTCATTTCAAATTAACATTCCAAATAGTTAAATTATGGCTAATAGGCTCATTTCTGTGTAATTGAATCAACTTGAATCCAAAGTCTCTGAGGCAGACATAAATACAAAAAAAAACTGAAAAAAAAAAAAAAAAATCTTGATATATGTTAGATGTCATTTCAAAAAAGAGGAATTAAATCTGATTTAATAATAACTTAATGGCTACACAGTAAGGCTATAATATCTTTAACAATATGTTTGCCATTTTGGTAAAACTATGCCTTTAAGTTAAAAACTGTTTTTCCCCCAAATTCTCCAAATTCTGTTGTCAAACATAAGATGAGGCAGACATTGCTTTGCCATCCTGCCTCTGTGTTTTGTTATCAGCTTGGTGTCATTCCTCTTCGATTGTGGCAGACACCGGCTGTTTGAATTAAATATGAGCTTGTCTGTGTTTTCCCCTCTGGCAGCGTAGTGCACGTGGGGTTCACAATAGCAAGCATCATCATCATATTCTTGAATTGCTTGCTACATGTGTTTGTGTGAGTGTAGCTGCGGCAAGCAGGTGACTTTGTGAGTGTGTTTGTGTGCAGGTGTCTGTTTCTCATTAGGAATATCGTTGACATTAAAATGCACAGGAGAGGGTCCGCAGGGGTGCAAGGGTGTGTGCGTTTGTGCGTGTGACAGAATGATGCATCAGCTTTGTTTAACAGGACACACACACACACTTCTGCAGTCATTCATCAAGCCCACAACCGGACCTGAGGATGGGCCTCAGGGAAGGCCTAGAGGGTTGTACCGTGTCAACAAGTGGCACATTTATGTCACCCAACACCACCTACACCTTATTGACAAGCCAGCTACAGCCTAGAAACCCCTCCGCACCACCACCGCTGCGTATCCATTAATTGTACCTGCCACTCTCCCAGGCTTCTTTGCAGGCAGACTGGTCTAAACAGCTTTGTGGTGTTTGTGAGGTCAGGGCTGAACAGGTTTCTTTATTGATAACCCCTCCATGTGGCTGACCCCTGTCGCCTCAGCATTTTAGCTCATCTGTCACTTAATTATGATGTAATTATCCAAAGGTTTAGGTGCTTGCTCACTATAGTGTGGATGTTATTTGACCCTCACACCTTGCAGGTGACCAGTTGTGGCCAATTAAGTCATGACTTTTAGATTATGTTTGTGTGAAACCTGAATTAATTTGCCTACAGTTTACATTTCGCTCATTTACCGACAGGCACGAGAACGGTGGGTGGTAGAATTTGACAGCTGAAGAGAAAGGACAGCTCTAGGTTGAAAAACATGAGAGAAATTTACACAGCAAGGTGGAGCGAGAAACAAAGTTTAGACAAAGAACAGCGAGAAAATAGCAGCTGCCTCATTTTTTATGCCCTGTGTATCCCTGCTACCAAGCAGCCCTCCTCTCCTCCCTCTATTCCCTATTTCTATCTCCCTGCGTCTCTTAATTACACCCAGGGTTTGCACTGTGGGAACATGCCTGCCACTTATGCCCGACTTGTTGTTCTCCTTCCTCACTGTGCTGGTGGAGGAGAGAGATGGGTGGCGCACTTGTGCAGGTGTTGTGCATTACGGCAGACTCCTTCCTGCTCCTTTGTATAGCACACAAAACAAGGACACGCTGTGAGTCGCTATGAAATTATGCAGAGAGGTAGATTAGAAGAAATGAGCGCTAACTTTTCTCCTTCTGGCCCCCTCCATCCTCATCCTGCTTTTCGTGTCATATGCAAATAGACTTGACAGAGAGGAGCCCATCGCAGTGTGTGTCCTTCACGTACTGCATCATCAGAGTGTATTGACTCAGAATAAGAGGCTCGTCTCTTCTCCATTCCCCTCCTTAATAAGCCTTTTCACTCTGGCGTATTTGTCAGAGTGGAGCTCAAAAGGAGAACATGATGTAAAGAGGTAGGGAGGTTGGCTTGGGGGTTTTCATATGCAAAGCAGCAGTATGTGCAAACATATTTTTTTTGTGTGATCTGAGGGACTGAGCTGTAAACGATGTGATTCTGTCCTTGATGGACTGCAAGAGTGCTGACTCCCCTAACATGTTGCACTTGTCTTTCTCTCTTCAATTTTAGGATATTTATTCTACTCTCAAGCTAGTGTTTCTTTTTCTTCTAACTTTTGTCACTATCTTAATTATTTAGGGAGGCATGCACACTAATGCAAGGATCACCAGTTGCACTGGATCAACAGCAAATATGCACTCAAAAGAACAATAAAAACACCTTTGAAACATAATTAGCCATTTGACCTAAAAAGCTGGATTAAACAAGTGTCTGCAACCAATCCTTGAAGTGTTTAGCATATCTGTTCCACTGCAAAGAGATACGTCACAATTGCTTAAATATAAGGATAAACTTTTCTGTAGATAAGAACCTGACTTAGATGACTGCTGTTGCTGAGGAATCTAATGCAAATACAGCTGCATCAATCCTAAAAGGAGACACATGCCGATGCAGTTCTTGAACACTAGTACCCTCCATAGCTGAGCAGTGGTACTGCACCCCAGCATGAAGTTCAATAAAACATCAAAGTGATGAGGTGTAGCCATAGGCTTGTTATTCTCTGATCAGGTCTATTGATCAGTGATCCATCCTGGCTTTTATTATCTCATGTCTTCTCTTAATGTGCTATTGACTTTCCATTCACTCAACTGTCTGCTCAGGGGAAAACATACAAGGCAGACAAAGACTAATAGACAAAGGCAGAGCACGCACATCTGTGTTTTCTGTGTGAAAGCCTGTGCAGATTGGTGTGTGTGAATTGGCAGGTTTTTACATAGTGTGTGTGCGTTTGTGTTTATACCCTGTCGGAGAAGCTCAGCTGCAGTGCAGTGCTGCGCCGGGTGCCATGCTGGCACTAATTAAACATCCTCATCAGTCCATTGGCTTAATTAGATGTGTCTGTTTCCTTGACTGCAGAAATGAAAGGCGGCAGAAAGAGAGGTGGAAGAGAGAAAAAGATGGTTTATTTTAAAGAGGAGCAGGAGTGAATGAAAGAGAAGTTAATTTGTAAGCCAACAGATGTTTAGGTTTAAAAAGCTCTGAAATGTGTTCAAATGAGAAAAAGGGTTTCTGGCTGTGGTAAACAAGGGGATTTAGTGTGTATATATATATGTGTGTGTATGGGTGTGTGCAGACAGGGTGAGGGCCTGGGGGTGTGTGGGGGTTGCGTGTTGGAACACTGCAGGCATCCCTGCTCCATCTGGTATGAACTGTATTGTAAGTGACCTGAGAAAACCCTGCACAAGCACACATACACAGAAAGGCTGTGCATTAATATGCTATTATATGCTGTGTTTCAGTGTGATCAGCAGAGCCCCAGGGCTGAAGCTGGTGGTGGAGACTCTGATGTCGTCACTGAAGCCCATCGGCAACATCGTGGTCATCTGCTGCGCCTTCTTCATTATCTTTGGCATCCTAGGAGTACAGGTGAGAGCAGAGCAGGGAGGGTGTGGAGAGGGTGAGGAGGAGGGATGTAAAAGCTGTCTGGATGGCACTGACAGAAACATTACCCTCCTCCTGCCACGCTGCAACAGTTTGACATGTGACAAATATTCCCTCAATTCTTCACTTTCTCCTATCCCATCTTGGTAGTCCATACATCATGGAATCTTAGCAGAAAATTGTTTTTCCATGCCCTCCACACATTATAACTCACAGGGTAGGACACTTATGTATACTTATCTGGTTGCAGTAGAGATTTCATGGCTAACAGCCCAAGGACCAATCTATACCAACGAGCTATGTGCCCTTGGCATACCGCAGGCTCCTGTCTATCAGCATGTTTATGTCCATAAACCATCTGTCCAAGTAAAGCGGTGTCACAAAGGGTTAATGGCTGTGACGATGCCATGAAGCAGTCATTGGGAGCTGTCGCTAAAGAGCATCCATAGAATTCACTGCACCGCCTTTAACCTCCAGTGTTGAAAACGTTCTAAATGTTGTCAGTGCAAGTGTGGCCATTCAGTAGCCAATCATTTCTTATATACATTTCATACCAAGCAGCCATTGCTGTCTTTGGTATTTAGGTTTCCAGGAAGCACTTTTGGAAGACCTGAATCCCAGCTAGTGCCCTAACCCTAACCTTTTACAACCTGACCCTGGGCTACTCGCACAGCCTGGCAGGGTGCTGTGCCGAGTACAGTAAATATACATATACAGCCAGCAGCCAGTTAGGTTAGCTTAGCAGAAAGACCGGAAACATGTACCTTTTTTCCACCAAAATTAGCATTTATATGCAAAGTTTTTTAAATGCAGGAAAACACGCTAAATATAGGCAAAAGACTCCTTTCCCATTGCTAGTAGATCAGGGCCTTGTACACATCTCTGCAGTCGAGTATGCCTATTGGGATTTTCGGGGTGAAATTCAGTGTCACAAATGCACCCTAAGTAAGCAGTAGAAAGTAGCATGGAGGTAAGTGAAATTGTTAATGATGGTTACTTTTTTTAATGTCTGTTCCTTATTCAGTCTCTTTAAACTCAGTGAAGACTTATTTGGAACGATGCTAGAGTGCTGTTTGGGTGGAGATTGTGGCGGCGTGTCACCATTATGCTGGAAAAAAGGGCTTGTCCACCTGGGTGTCATATTTCCATCAGCGCTGGAGCCGATAAATACTTTTGACTTCTGCAGTCATTTGTCCCAAGAATGCCAATTGTAACCTTTCCCAGTCAGACACAAACGGATATTAATTGGTGTTAGTGTGTTTTTGTCCAGGGGGGAAGCGGCTTAGAAACGACAGCTAACCTACCTCTGTCCAAAAGTATCAAAACCCTTAAATGTGGTGTAACTGGAAGACAGGATGTTAAAGGTTTCTGAGAAGGTGTTTCTGCTGTTCTGTTGAGGAGACTGTGTCCTCCTGTATCACAAGTACCTCTCAATGACGCTTCAGTACCAGAGTTAAACTTTTACTGCGGACCCAAACTTCTATTTATTCTCACTGCAGCAAACAGGATGGTATTCTATTGCTGAAAACAGCTGCATTCTTTATCAGTAAAAGATGGCTCTTGTCAAACATGGATATCACCTAACTAGAGCGCTACTGTGCAGGTTTAAAGTGAAAAAGAAAACAAACAAACAAGCAAGAAAAATGTTGGGTAGAGATACTGGGGGAAAAATGAAACTGTATGAATCTTCTGGAAATATACTATGTATTCGATGATATGAAAAATGTCTGAAACCAAGCATACTAAAAACAGCATGAAGTACTTTTATGAATCAGTTTTCTGTTGAGGGTCACTGTAAAATAACGGGTCAGTTTGTTTTTTCTTGCCAGCTCTTCAAGGGGAAGTTCTTCGTGTGTCAAGGAGAGAGTGTACAGAATATCACTAACAAGTCAGACTGTTTGCAGGCCAACTACAAATGGGTCAGACACAAGTACAACTTTGACAACCTTGGACAGGTGAGATTTCCAATCAGTAAATCCGTAAACAAATGTTTTGTTGAGCTGCTTCGAAATTACATTTTCACAAGCATTTCAGTTTATGTATTACTCTCTCATTGTTTCTTCCCTTTCTCTGTCTCAGGCCTTGATGTCTCTGTTTGTTCTGGCATCAAAAGACGGCTGGGTGGACATTATGTATGATGGTCTGGATGCTGTAGGAGTTGACATACAGGTTAATATGTTTAAACACTCTCACGCAGAAACGCACAGGTTCACAATCTGTTAGCTGTCATTCATGAGTTAGAATTTAAAGAAGGCTTCTACTATAACTGTCTACAAAATTCTCTGTATCCTGTGTGTGTTTCAGCCGAGAATGAACCACAACCCATGGATGCTACTCTACTTCATCTCCTTCCTGTTGATCGTAGCCTTCTTTGTGCTCAACATGTTCGTGGGTGTCGTGGTGGAGAACTTCCACAAGTGCCGGCGCCACCAGGAGGCTGAGGAGGCCAAGCGCAGGGAGGAGAAGAGACTGAAACGCATGGAGAAAAAGAGACGGAGTAAGGAGAAGGAGCTGGCTGGTCGGTAGTCTTTCCACATCTTTCTGAGTCCTGCTTGATTTGAGCCTGAGCCTATTTTTTTCCTTTTTTGCTTTTTGATTTGGTTTGGCCGAATCTGGAAGAACGCAATTAGTGAGCTAGTACCAACTACAGTTGCTGCTCTGCAGTAGAACCTTCCCTTTCCCCTTCCATCCCCTTTTCTTTTCCTCGTAGGCCATCTAGCTAGTTTTTGTTGTTGTCTGGTGATCACCTGTTCTGGCTCTGCAGACTCTGCTTCAGACTGTGGAGGCTTTTCTTCAACTCCAGCATCAAATTGATCAAGCTGGATGTTAAGTAAAGCTTCCATAATCGGCCGGTTTGCAGAGGTAGGACAGCTGACTACTGGCGTTAGCCCCCTCACCCCCCTTCCCTCCTCCCTTACCTTGCCTGGTTTACCATAGACGCCTTGCTTGGGATGGCCCCTTGGAGCATGCCCAATGAGTGCTGACAGACGGGGCTTGCATGGTGGTGGGTATACAGAGCTAGAGGGAGGGGGAGTTGTTGATCATTTAACCGCCCTAAACAAAAACAAGACAATCCCCCTCCCTTCCCCTCTTCTGCATGTGGTTTAGTACAGCCGCAGGGGCAGGGATAGACTAAAATCTGGGAAGAAAACGAAGAGTCTCCCCTTTGTTTTCATGTAGCTAAGATCTGAGATCACTTCGGGTGAGATTTGTAGGAGTTAGCGTTGATTCCCTGCCCGTTCCCCCTCCCCTCCGGCTGTATAGGAGTTGGTGACAAACTGCTTGGTTTGTTTTTTTTAATTCTTTCCACTGCCTCCTATATGCAAAAACTAAAGTGCTAGCATCTGCTAGCATTAGACTTTTTGTGAATTTTGTGCCTATACTTCCAGTATTTTTCCCACTTAATCCAAAGGCACTTTATTAAAAATTTCTGCAAGGAGCAGTGGACACTATTGGTTTCTTGAAACTGAAAAAAATCCCTTTGTTTCCATCTATATGACATGATCATTTTATTTGACGATAGGAATGTTTCAACTCTTGAGAAATACAGATGGAAACTGATCTTCCTTTTTCAGGAGGCGTCTGCCAAGGGTGTCCAATCAATCGAGAAACTCTCGCAGACCCTTGCACACTCAGTCTAACACACGTACACTTGATAACTCAAGATGCCCCTTTTTTTTCGGACGCACACAAAACCTGCCATATGTCTAAGTTTGCTTCCCTGTTTTTGCTTTTTTCTATTTTTGATTGAAAAGTTTGTCTTCTTTTTTTCCTGGCCCAGTGTTTTTTGGGGGGGGAGGTTTTGCCAGGAAACCTTTTTTATACACAGCAGGGAGAAAAAAGGGCTGAATGTTGGTTTATTAGCAAAACAGCAACACAAAAAGGTAAGGTTGCTCACACAAAGAGACAACCTACTGGTGCAACTCAAAACAGTACAGTTCGTAGGGTGGTTGTAAATGTCTGCCTTGGGTTTGAGAACTTCGGTTTATGAGTCAACGGCGTCCTGATTGTTACGAAACAAAAACGTGTTATTCCAAAGAACTGGACTCAGAATCACTGGAAAGACAAAACGTAGGAACATAAACCAGCTTAATCTTTCATCGCTTCCTTCTGGCCTTACTCCATCCCTCTTTCCCTCTTTCTCTCTCTTTGACTCTCTCCTGTTTCCAACTCATCCTTTCTTCCTAGCTTTCTTCTGCTTCTCCCTGACTAACACAGTCTCATTCCTCTAGATTTATTGGTTCCGGGGGTGAGTTGGGCCCTCTCTGAAGGCACATTGAAAGGTACAGAGTTTCCAGCATGTTCTGTGTGTCCCTTTAAACACCCCCACCCACCACCACTGACCACGACAACCCACCATGGTGGCTAGGGTTCTAAGTTCAATGATCACGGGAGGTAGGGCCCCATCCCGCGTCCCCGCCCCCCTGCCTCTCTCCCATCAGCTCTCAGTCCGCTGGACATGCTGTTACCTGTTTTCTCTGTCGCTGCTTTGTCTTTCACAGCTCTTCCACACCGTCCGCGATCCATCCACCGTCCACAGCACTGCACTGCTGCTGCACCACCACCACAAGAAAAGAAGACTCTTGTCCAGTTAGGTTGGCAGGGAAACCGAGATGGGGATGTAGTGAGACAGGGATAGTTTAGTGCAATGCAACAAATATTGGAGTTACTTGAAGGTAAAGGATTCTAGAGTGTCTCCTTCACAAACCTACTGAAGTCTCATGATACAAATGTAAAGAATAATTCCAGTTTATGGCATCTTGGGCCTTATTTTCATTGTGTTAATCATTTTTTCTGTTGGTTGTGGTAATATTTTGCCCACCAAAGTAATTGCTGAGATGTAAGAACATGGTGACATCGCTACAACAAAGTGTGACAGGTCAAAAGAGACATGAGCAGTTGATTATTACACAGGTTGTACACAACTACAGCTTTGATTCACCCAGAAGATTTTGAGATATTTCTTTGAGTAAGTGAAAATTTTGACCTGCTGGTAGCTCTAGATGAAAAGTCAGGCTATGTTTACATTACAAGCGAGTGTGGCCCAAATCCTTTTTTTTTTTTTTTTTGCTCTCATGAGCTCTCATAGATCTGATTTTTTCAGAGTAGTGTGGAAACAGAAATCCATTTTTTCTAATTAGATCTGGACCACTTTCATACGTGGATCTAAATCAGATACATAGCGATCACTGGCCATGCGACTACTGTGAAAACGGCATACTTCACTGTGCAGATGCAGATCACTCACCATTTAGTGTGTGGTGCGTTGAAAATACAGAAGGTTACTGATGCTGTACCACTGCTGTACTAGGCTGCCCAGTCACCAACCAATAGATGCTTTCTGATGGGGACAGGTTGCCAACATGTCACTGACAGAATTATGGGAATGTAGCTCTGGATATCCTATGGTTTGGAAGAACTTTTCCTCCTTGAAACCCTGCACATCGGGGCTCCACCACTCTTGACTCCTCTCCCACACCTCTCCCTCCACAGAACTACCAGTATTGCTGCTATATAACTTTAAAAAGATGCCCACAGATGCCATAATGGTAGACATGATCAACTTGTTGTCTTTGCTTTGTACTCAGTGTTTGATGATCCAGTGTACTTTGGGTGGTTTAAGATTTGATTGATTTGACTGATGTATGGAGAGTTTCTGGATGAAGCTAATTCTGTTGCATCAAAACAAAAGCTCAAATCAATGGGGTAATAAAGGAATTCATCAAACAATAAACTAAGACTAAACCAGACACAAAGCAGTTGAAGACTGTAACCCCATGGCGTCATCCATGCTCCACACTCATTTTAGCACACCTGCCTTTAATTAGAGGTTCCTGAGATGCCAGATCAGGTGACACATTAGGGAATGTAAAAAAAAAAGGTAACTAGAAGGGCTGGCTCCAAATCGCTCTAACAACCCACAATAGCTGCTAATAGAGTCAGTGGACCGAAAGCCCATTTGTACAACAGCCCGTTATCCCGAAAACAAATGGCCATTGCTCCAAAGGACCATTTCTCTGAAAATACACCACACTCCATCCCAAACAGAAGCACATGGCCAATTATGCACAATGACATCATCAGACCTTTCTACTATGGTGATCATTTGGAAGGTGAAGCTTGCTCCGCAATGTCCTTCTTTTTTCTTCATACTGATGTCAGACATGGGTCACTGAGCATTAAGCCCTGTAATGTGAACGTAGCTGAAGTCATTGGAATTCATGCTCTTTGAGCCATAAATGTCTGTACAAGACTTGTTGACAATCTATTCAGCAGTTGTTAAGATATTTCAGTCTAGACCGAAGTGGTGTACTGATCAGAATTCCACATTAACACTGTTGCTCTTGGGCCAGTAGCTATGGTGAGCTCAACCAGGAACTGATGTTCACAATAGACATTTTAGCTAACTATTTTACCATATGCCTTCATTTCAGCACCTGAGTTTGGAACCTTCCCAGTCATCTGCTTGTATTTCTTGCCTGTCTGACTTGCTGATTACACAGTTATTATTACCAATTGGAATGATGGCCAAAGCTTTAAAAATTAGGCCCATGTTTTGATACCTCAGAGTCCTCCTATAAACTAGACTTACTTGTGTTCCTCGCTCACTGTGTCTTGTAATTTCGGCTCACTGCTGTTATAGTGGATCAGATTTATATTGGAGAGCTTGATCAGGTTGTACAAGTGGTGCCATCTTGGATGAACAGATTCTGTCTCTTGCTCTCCTTCTTTAATAACATCCTCTATTAAAGGTCACCGGCCTCCATTAAACTGCACTGGACCACAAAAATTCAATCAAGAGCATTCTGTTTTTTTCCCATTGAGTCTGTGCTCGACTTAAAAGCTTAATTTAAGACACCCAGTGCAAGAATATGTAAATGTGATGACAATAAATTGAACAAACTCAGGCAGAATATCTAACTTGTATTTCTGGCTGCAGTGTCCACAGCTTTAGCGCCAAATAGCTTGTTTCTCTTTCTCAGAGATTGTTTCTTAAGAAGAAAACAATCAATTTCAAGCTTGTGCATCAGCAGGATACCATTATTAAATCATGAGATACAAAAGAGTTAAATCTGTGGCCAAACTGAATACATTTATCTCCACCTAATGGCTGATTTACTAAAGGTCACTGCAGTACAAGTTGTTATTAAGCGAGACCACAGCAGGTTTGTTAACAGTGGTTGGCTCTTGTTGTTGCCATAAAGGTCATCTCAGGTCTGTCTGACCACCCTGACTGGTTTGCTCGCACACATGGTTGAATTGTCGCAACTTGTTTCCATGGCAGTCTGGTTAAGGTATTGTTATGATAGAGCTGCGGAGAGGTGTGTTAGATAATGACAACCTCTTCCCTAACTCTGCATTGTGAAACTTTGTGTGTGTATGCTTGTGGTTAGTATATGTCCAGGTGCAATGTCTGTTCCATAGGAACACACTCAAACAAGGTACCTGACTGTGTTAGATTGTATTTTGTGTGTGTGCTTGTGTGTGTGTGTGTGTGTGTGTGCATATGTGAGTGAG